CCAGTCCTCGCTATTCTACGTTCTCCTTCTTGAACAAATATGAATTTTCGGAATTTTCCCCACTTATTATTTATTACAGTATCAATCTCTAAAACCTTCTTAAAGGTGCCACATAGAATTAACTCATGAAGTTTTTATTTAATGGCAACTGCTGTAGCTGGAAATTAAGGAAACGGAAGCACAATTTCAGACATTGTTCAGACACGGAAGTACCGTGTCGGCCATACTGTTATGTGTGATTGAAAAGCAGGAGTATCACTTCTGCCAGAAAAAAGTAGCCAGACTAAACTGTGTTGTTGTTATTATTACGGACACCCTTATCAGCACAGTAAGTTCGCAACAGCAACTTTTTCATAATTTTCGCCATTCTTCCGACACTTAATGTCTAAGTCCTTCATTTTGTTTTTGGCATGGTCATAATTGTGGCACACCTGATAGACAAATTGCCGTTATTTATTTAAAAATGGTTTGCAAAAAAAATATATCGACTAGAGTCTTCGAGAAGCTGTATATTAACGGAAATTTCAAAACAACACAAATACGCATGCTTTAAAATGTGAATATTTTAATCATACCAATAATTTCTCCCTTGTAAAACTTTTGTTGTTTGATTAATTTTTTTTTTTATTTTTTATGATCATTTCACCCCAAGCAAGGTGGAAATGCCACTAGTACGCAGGGGTTAAAGGGAATGAAAATGAGAGACTGAGTATAGGGAGAAGCGAAGCAAAGATGACAAAAGATGAACAGTGTTCAAAAAGATAGAAGATGGCGATTGACATTACATTTAAATTTTTGAATATTGTAGTTGTAGTTAGAAGGAGTAAAAAGGAAGGAAGTTACACAGTGTGAAGTCCGAGGAAAGAAAGTACGGGAGTAGAAGTGGCGGTTGCATTTGGCAATTTCAACAGTAAAAGGGTGGGACCTAGCTGCCAATCTAGTATCACGCGTAAATTCATGTACTCGGGGCACGGGGAAAACAGAACGTCAGAGAAGTTACCATGGAAATATTTGTAGAAAAGACAGAGGGAAGCCACACCAGGTCGATGAGAAAGTGACTGAAGTCAAGATGCCCGGTCAGGATGGATTGCATTACAGATCCTTCTTTGGAGTTTTTTTATAAATTAATTGTTATTTATGTAATTAAATTTTTGTTGGATGCAATGCATTCGTTGTAAATATATAAATTTACCATGTTAAAACTGAATTGTATTCAAAATCATTACTTTTTATTGGACCGTGCAAATAAATATTGTTACATAAGAAAGTATCTTTGAAAATAAATGAAATTCTCTCACTCCTAAAATGGAAGAAAAAAAAAATTATCAAAAAGAAACAGTTGAATTTTCACGTAGTTGAATCGCTAAAGCACCCCACTCAGCAATGTTTCTATACATGTCGTCAGTATAGCGTTTGTATATATATATATATATATATATACTGCGTGCCAAATTATTATCGGGATAACTTTTTTTCTGATATTTCAAAAACTGTCCAATCAATTCACGTTGGCAACACTGACCTGCGCAATCACTGAAATTTTCGTACTGATCTGCGCAATGTAAACAAACTGGCGCCATATTTGTTATCAGCACGGTGTCTGGGTGGTGTTCATACCAATTTCTATTAGTTTCCTTTCCATCGAAGATGCAGATTTTCCAGGGCAGATATTGGACCACTCTGTCATGCCGGGTTTTATATTCAGTGGATGCCAAAACCGTGCAACCTGATACAAGATGATCAATTGTTTCTGGATATCTATCACAGAATATACATTTTTGGCTGACTGCATTTTGGGCTTATTATTATTATTATTATTATTATTATTATTATTATTATTTCCTTTGTTTTCTGCTGTGAACTCTTTTCCTTCCAGGGTCCAAGCAGAGACCTAAGGTCAGAAATGGCATCATGACATTTTCCACTAAGGATCTTTATAAAAAAAGAAGTGAAGATAAAACAACCTAAGGGCAAACACACTGGTAAATCCCTTCGTAATGTGTGATGTGTACTTATGCAAACAATTTTTTGTATTCCTTTAAGGCATGGGCTACTAGGCTTCGCTTCAATGAATCTATCGGAACTTTATAAAAGCCTTTAATTACTTTTATAAATAAGATATATTAAGGACACGATTGTCTTAACAAAAAAATGTCGCTGAATAACGAATTATTATTATTAACTGCTGTCGGATTAAAAACACATATGCTGTCGGATTAAAAATGTATTTTAAAGTTAAAGTAAATAATATTTGTTTGGAATCAAATTAATTAAACTTTAAATCAATTAATATTTCTCAAATAAATTTTCAGAAAAGTCTAATTTATTTTGGAAAGATTTTTTTTAATAAAGAGATGAAAGATGACTAAAAGAAGGGTGCTAATCAACTATTTTAGCAAAAAGAAAACTTTATACACTCAATTTAAATTAGTTTTTGAAAGCAAAGTATTTTGATTAGTGAAATTATTAAATTGAATCTATTTGCTCGAAATTAAAGCAAAGAATGATTTTTCATTTTTAAAAAACTTATTTTGAACCCAAATATAAATCCGTGAAACTGCTGACGTAGACTTGAATATAAGATAAGGGTCTGAAAAGGCAATGACCGAAAGAGAAAGAAAAAAAAGACGTCATTGAAACGGGTATGAGAAAGAGGGTCTTTTCTAAGAATGGGTGCGGAATAAACATGAAGAATAAATGGAAAAGGGCTAAGTATCGCGTTTTTTCTAAAACTCCCTGCCCTTTGTCAGATTGTGTGTCATTTTAAATATTTTGGGTTTCATATATTTTTACGTTAGCGTCAAGTTTGAGGCGTGATGTTCACTTGTTCAATAAGAATACTTATACGGAATAACACTGCAAAATAAGTGATTTCAAAGAATCAGCGAACATGCTATGTTCTGAAAACTTTCTGTCTAGATCTAGTATAGAATTGATTACTATATAATCGTTTCTCATTAGGAAGGGACGGGCATTAGGTTTAAGGCACAAACAGTTCATTAATTGAATGCGCTACGGGACAATAGCCTACGGGATATAACTGTTGGTTGATCGTATTTAATTAACTGGTGGTCGTTAAAGTCATATACAGTGATAAAAAACAAAAGTGGCCCCTCTAGGACGAATCAAGTAAGAATTAAATGATACAATTTGGTTGGTTGGTTGGTTTTGTTTAACGACATATCAACACCTCTATGGGTTATTTAATATCGAAATCTAAATACTTTATACGCAGTTTTACGCCTTCAACTACAGATATCTTATGCATCATTTTATACCTTCAGTGTAAACGTATGTTTTTTTAGAAATATTTTTTGCAGATGATAAAATGTATTTCTACTATTTTTCTAAAAATATATTGCTGTCAATTTCACTCTAAAAATGTGTAGTTAGTATTTTTATAAGAACGTATTGCTGGTATTTGTACTATAAAAATGTATTTTTAAACATCTTTTGTGTTGCATTTTTTGGAATTTTGGGGTACCTTGGTGTACTAGTGAGCCAGCCAAAACGAGCTGACTCATTTTATAGTTCACCAATAGAAGGGTTAACCAATCAGAAGGCTCAAAATATTCAATGCGAAGTGTATAAAGGCGGCCATGTTTTTCCCGAATACTCACTGCCAACCTTTGATATCGAAGCCTGAAGAATTACGGAACAGCTGCTGGTGGTATTGGCGATAGAGTCAGATTCAGTAGAGTGTCTAACTCGTGAGTATTAATCTTTAATGTTGGTTTATTGAACAGATTACGTACTGCGCTGTATTCTATATTCATAGAATATGGTAAACATGGCCAACAGCATTGATTGTCATTTTGCTATAAAAAGGTATTGCTGCTACTTTTAATATAAAAAAGTATCGTTGGTAATTTTATTAGAAAAATTTACTGTTGATTTTTGTTTTGGGTGTCCACTATTTTCCCATAGCGAGAACCCTAACAGGTGCTACCACACCCGGATCTGGCTGGAGCTGGAAACACAGCAGTTAAGAGGTGATTTCACGGTCATTAAAATTTCCAATTTTCCGATCAGAGGTCTTGCTGCCGGATGTAGTTTATCGTTCTTACCGGGACGATTAAGTGATACAAGTTATTCCTTCTACAATGAGAATAATCTACGCTTCTTTAAATAAAAGATTTGTTTCGGAATCCCCCCCACAAAAAAAATGTTATCGTACGCAACAGCGGGAGGCTAACCACAAATGTTTGCAGCTATTATGAATATTAAAGCTTGCCAAAATCCACCTAGATTGAGAAAATAGTACCTTTCGCAAATTACCTCTTTCGTAAAGGATTCACAGTCATCGTACATCGATGGTATGCCTTCATAACAATTCTCAAAGCAGAGTAGGTAAACATGACTTCTTGCTGCTCATGGTAAGAGTAAGTTTTGTCTTTGGGAAATAGATTCTTTCGAAAATTAACTGTTTGGTAAAGGCTTCACTGTCATCAAATATCGATGACGTACCTTCAATCCTCAAAGCAGAAGACGGTAACCACGAATTCTGGCTTTTACCAGTGAAATACAACTTTCAGAAACCAGCTTCTTTGTGAAAACTATTTTGCCATTTACCACTTTGCTAATAAATTCAGTCCACAAGCATCGATGGTATGCTTCAGAACAATTTTCAAAGCGGAAGAGAGAAAATACGAAATATGACTTCTAATGATGAGGATAAGGCTTGTTAGAAGCCGCCTTGTTTGGCAAAAATAACTTCTTTCTCAAATTACCACTTTGGTAAAAGGTTAGGTGTCATTAAACAACGATGGTATGCTTTCAGAATAAATCCAAAAGTTGAAGAGGTAAAGCACGAATTCTGGACGCCAATGGTAAAAATAAACTTCGTCTTTGGGAAAATACTTTATTTCGTAAACTACCTCTTTGTTAAGGGTTCCACTGTCATCAAATATCGATGGCATGCCTTCAGCTCAAATCTCAATGCGGAACAATGCAAAAGAAAGATCTGAAGCAAATGATTAAGAAGAAAAAATGCCGAGATATTAAGATTGAGAAAACGGGAAATAAAAAGAAAATCCGTGAAACTGTTGACGTAGACTTGAAATGTAAGCCAAGATAAGGGTCTGAAAAGGCAATGCCCGGAAGAGAAAGAAAGAAAAAAAAGCGTCATCGAAAAGGGTATGAGATAGAGGGTCTTTTCTAATAATGGGTGCGGAAAAAAAGCGTGAAGAATAAATGGAAAAGTGATAATAAAATTTTGAGGAAGCAAGAAAAAAGTATGGTGGATTGATTGATAGCGAGATAGAGAGGCAAGATTCGCTGGCGTTGATAGGCACGGGGACTAAGGCACATCTGATTAAATACAGGAGGTTTTCATCGAAAGAGCGAAAAAGAGGAAAAGTTTGGGAATGGGAGAAAGAATGATTTTAAAAAATAGGATATGATGGAGAGAGACACAGAAAGGGATAAAAGCTGGGAAACGATGACGATGATGATGGTGATGATGATGATGATGATGATGATTTTATATGAATAATAACGCCAACAGCCTCACAAGCGACAACACTTACGATACCAGAACATAGAAGAAGAGGGTTTAGCAGAAGTGCGAAGAAGAAGTGCGAAGAAGAAGAAGAAGAAGAAGAAGAAGAAAGCATGAGAAAGAGACAGGGTGAGAAAGAAAATAGAAAAATGAAAGAGTCAAGAAAGACGAAGAGAGAGGAGGAAGAGCAGAAGAAGAGGAGGGAGAATAAGGAGGATGAGGATAATGTTGGTGAAGAAGAAGAAGAAGAAGAAGACAGCAGCAAGGGACATGAGAATGAGTAAATAGAATACAAATAAAAAAAGTAAATAAGCTCAAATTAAATTAAGAATGAAGAGGAGCAGGAGGAGAATGTTGCGAAGAAGAGGAGAATAAGAATTAGAAAGAGGAAGAGGAAAAGAAGGGGGAGGCGAAAAAAAAAGAAAGAGCAGAAGAAGAAGACAGTGACAAGAATGAGGAAACATAAACAATTCAGATGAAGACAAATAAGTGGTTAAAATGAAACTGAAGAAAAAAGGCAAAAAATAAGTGAGAAGCTAATAATAATAATAACAATAATAAAAATAACAACAACAACAATAATAATAATAATAATAATAATAATAATAATAATAATAATAATAATAATAATAATAATAAAAACAATAATAACAATAATAATAATAAATGAGAAACGCTCACCTTCTCAGAAAAACTCTCTCATCCTAATATCCACAAAAACCTTCCTTTACTTCGAGTGTCAGGTAAAAAAAAAAAAAATTGGGAAAGGATTGTATCAAACAGAAGAACTGAAATAATAATAATAATAATAATAATAATAATAATAATCTTGATGCTACACTAGACATGGCTCTCATGTCTTCCTATTATAAATGATCCGAGGTGTCAACATTTACCTGTTTTGTAAAACACACTTGCATGACCTAAGCCATTTGGGCTTAGACTAACGCACACAATAGTAGTGGAATATCATGATTAAGTGTCGAGAGTTATTTGTTTGTGTGAAAAGAGATTGTACAAGTGGACATTGTAGTCATATCGAGATACCTTCAATCGGAAACCGCCCGAAGGAATTAGTTGACCCGACCTTGAAGGGTTTTCTATCCGAATGCCACCTTCATTGTTTTTTCGCGGCTTTTATCAACATTCTCTAAACATATTTTGCATATATTTGGCTGTGATACATGTGTATGGTATACACTTATCAGGATGGGGTATCATGACGGGTTTTGAAAATTGGCTTCCCAGCTTCATTCATTTGTTTGCTATTCTATCACCCAATAATTTTTTTTTTTTTTTTTACAAAGTGGAAAATGTCATGATACCATTTCTGACACGAAGTCTCTGGTTTAGACCTGAAAGGAAATGAGTATACAACAGAAATCAAAGGGAATAATAATAATAATAATAATAATAATAATAATACATTTATGGATAAAGAAGAGCTTAAAAATATACAGATTATGTCCCACAACGGTCAACTTCATAACAGAAAGCATGAAGAATTGGAAGACTACGCTAAATCTAAACCATACAAACGGGTCATTAACAACGAGGCCACTCAATAGCAAAATCGGCATCTTCCAAGGAGATTCATTATCGCCACTACGCTTCTGCCTTGCATTAGAGCCACTGAGCTGTCTACTGAACACCAGTAGCTACGGATACAAGTCACAGAATGGCAAACTGCATCGCCCGTTCTGTATTGATGAACTTAAAACGTCTGTCAATGATGACAACCAACAGAAAAACCTGCTCACCATTGTCAAAACCTTCAGTGAAGACATTAGGATGGATTTCGGAATCGACAAATGTGCCAAAGCCAACTTGAAAAGTGGTAAACTAACGAAAACTACGGATAAGACCTTAATATCAAGATTAAGTAACTACACCAAGATGGTACATACAAATACTTAGGAATTAATAAAGAAGACGAAATAGAACATCAATTATGAAGAAAAAGATCCGAAAAGAAGTTTATAGAAGAGTTCGTTTGATACTAGAAAGCGAAAGGAACCAATAAAATGAAAGTTATCGGCATCTTAGCTATAACCGTAGTAACAAACAGCTTCAACATTATTAAATGCACGTTGAATGATATTAAAATACTGCATGCCAAGACCAGAAAATGTTTAAATAAATGAGGAAACACTACACGAATTCAGATGCTGATAGGTTGTACGTACCAAGAGCTTTAGGAAGTCAAGGTCTAATCCAACTTGAATTAACTTTAAAACCTGCAACAATCAGATTAGAAGCATAACTACCAAAAACCAATGACTCTCTCCTACAAATAGTAAAACACCAAAACAACTCCATCAGCAAAAAAAACCTGCAATCTTCAAAAAACAGTTTAATATGCCTGAAATCCTATCAACAAAAAACGAAGCGAATACCATCTAAGCCAAACGAGTAAAACAGAAAGCAAACCATCTTGGCTAAATGAAATTACAACAAAACTGGGAGGATAAGGCGTTGCATGGCAAATACATAAAAACGGAAGAAGCTGATGTGGACAAATTCATCAATAGCTGATGAGCACCGAGCTGAAACCTGTGACAGAAGGTCTAATTATTGCAACTCAGGACTAAAGCCTCGCAACCAGATCCTATCACTGTCACTTAATCAAGGATGGAACTAACCCGAAATACAGGATCTGCGGAAAATATGATGAAACTGTCAACCACATTATCTCAGGATTTCCGCAACTGGTAAAAAATGACAAGGTAGCGACATACAGGCGCTAGAAGATATGCAAGAAGCACAAAATCGAAACCACTGAGAGATGGTAGTGATTTTCCAAGCGCAGCTTAGATGTGGCACAAGACCAAATGTAGTGGCACCCAGTGAGGATCGAACTCACTATTCAGTTGTAATTTTTCTAGCGAGACAAGCTTGCTAACCATTACACCACGCCGAGGTTCCCGTCACTGAGAGATGGTATGACCACCGACCAGAGAGTGTCTGCCAAAATAACAATGTAACCATCCTTTGGGACATGCCAATTCAAACTGACAGGGAAATAAAAGCCAGAATACCAGATATTATCATAAAAGACAAGTAATACAGGAAGCCTATGCTTATTGACATAGCATTACCATCTGAGAGAAACACCTCCATAAAAATTATCGATAAATTGTCCAAGAACATGGATGGAGATCGGGATTAACAGGATGTGAGGAACGAAGAAGTCTGTACCAATAGTAATCGGAGCACTGGGCCCTGTGAAAAAAGGAATGGACAATTTTGCAAACAGTGTCCCAAGTAAGATCAACATACAAGTTGCCCAGAAAATCGCCCTACTAAGAACATCCCATATATTAAGAAAAGTGCTATCAGATAAATGACAATTCTCTTATAGCGTCCAAGGACCATACTTTGAACCCGGCTCTACAGGATACAAATCAGGAATCATACCACCCAAATAATAATAATAATAATACATGGTATGAACGTTACCAAGACCCGGTTACAGAGATAGGACATGTAACAATTTTATGGGAGTTTACAATATACAGAGACACAACAATCAAAGCTAATTTCCCTAACATCGTGATCAGGGACCGCAAAAATAAAATGTGCCTTCTTATTGGCATGGCAATCCTTGGAGACTGCAATGTACTTTTGAAGATCTTAAAAAGAAATATCAAAATACAAGGACGTTGGCGCATGAGGACATTAACAATTCCGGTTGTAGTTGGAGCCCTGCGATTGATTAGAAAAAGATTTTAATTGACTCATTGATTCCCTGGTAGCCCATGCCTTAAAGAAATACAAAAAATTGTACTCACAAGAACAGCCCGCACATTGCGAAGAGTTTTATCTATGTAAAATATGTTTTTTGTTTGTTTGTTTTTTGTTTTTTTGTTTTTTTTTTTTTCAAAACTCCTCAGTAGAAAATGTTATAATACCATTTCTGACCTTACCTCTCTGATCGGGACTCGAAATGAAATGCGTATACACCAGAAACCAAAGAAATAAAGAAATAATAAAAGAAATAAAATAATAATAATAATTATTTTTATTTTTATTAATATTATTATTAATAATGGACACCAGTTCTAAGGCAGGTCGTGGGGTTTATACCATTTCCACGTTACAGACAGACAAAAACTTTAAGACAATTTTCTGTATGTCTTAAGCTGGGGTTTCCAGGGATTCTTTCAATGTGTTGTTTTGTTCCATTTTTTAAATTCCAGAACTGGTATTAAAAATTTTTTCTACAATTTAATTTTGATAGTTTTTCAAATTCCTTGGTTGCTATCAAGCTGGTTATCAATTAGTAGGCAAGTTTTTCTTTCTGGTTTTGACAATAATGTCCGGCCTATTTGAAAATTTTCTGTCTGTGTGGAAAATCCCAGAATGGTGACATCTTCTATTTCTGTAAAATTGAACCAGTGTTTGCTTTCCATTCCAAAGTGTTTGCACATTGTCCAAAAAATCGTGACGATTTTTATTCATTTGGGGGCAAGTAATAATATCCTGAGATTAGATGGTAATTGTTTCTTGGTATTTGTGGATTTTATAAAAATGGATATTTGCCTGAAAACAACACATTGACTCTGGTCTCCGCTGCAAGACCCCAGTTTAAGACTTTAATCCAGATGCTCGAAAACCATCGATGAGTATTAACTTTATCAACATTGGGTTTACACGTTCTGGATAAGCAGAACTTTGTTTCATCTGTTAGGGCTTTATCCTTGGCAATATCTTTTTTCAATAGTTGGTTCGGAGATTTACTACAGAAAAAAAAAACTGCCTTCTTTTATTATTGAATATTTTTCTTTCTGTTTTCATGTTGTTTCACTAATTTTTATCATCCAGTCATTTGTTGTTTCCATGTGTTAGTAAGCCAATAGTTGTTGTCTTGTATGACAAGGTCTTGAATAAGACTCTTCCACCTTCTTTACGGGGTATGTATAGACGGTCTACATCAGCCTTTGATGATGCATCTTAGAAAGAAGCTTTCTTTGTTTTAGAATCCATTTGTCTGATGTCATTTAAGTCGAATGTTGAAACTATATTGGACCATGGGATGACAATAATTAATATAATTCTGTTCTGAGAATTCAATTCAGTTTTTAATAATAATAATAACTCTTTATTCATTTTCTTATGGTGAATTGTCTCATTTACACCTAGGTACTTATAAGCTTCTCCTTGTTCTAAATCTTTTATTGTTAGGGTTTAAACTAATAGAGGAAGTTTGTTTGATTTCTGTGGCACATTTATCCAAATTGAATTTCATTCCAATGTCTTCACTGAAGCATTTTACAGTTTGCAGAAGTTCCAGCTCATTGGGATTCCTAGCATACAATTTTAAGTCATAGTAAAAAATGGCGTCTATTTTGTAACCGCATTCTGTCTTGTCCACTGACTATAAGTGATAAAAAAAAATACAAAGAGATGAAAATTCCTCTATTGATGTTTATTTCGCCAGACTTATAGGTTCCATTTTTATGATTGAGGGCTGTACTTGTCAAAACATTGTTTTTTTGATAACGGGTGATACCTTGGCATGGACTTTAAGATCCAGGAATGTGGTACACTATCGAATGCTTTACGTCTATCCAGGCAATCTAAGATTTTTTTTTTTTCGGAACCAGTTTTCCAGGATCATCCAATTGGTCTTTACATCAGGGATTGTTTGACCTTTTTGTTCAAGTGGTAGTATGTCATTTTTTCAAGAAGATATTCTGTTTTTTAAAATAGATGTCTTTGTATTTTGGAAGACATAGTTTTTTGAATATCACTATTTTTGGGTAGAAGAAATACATTGTCATCCATGCAGGAATTTTAGTTGGATCGGACTGAAGTTCCATATTTCAATAAGGAGGAATTTTATCACCTGGAGATTTTTGTTTGTTTTCTTTAATTTAACAATTTGATTCCCGCCCATGTCTGTTCTGGTTTATTTTTCATTCGTTCTTTGCAATCCAATTTCATATTTTCCCCAGAACTGTATAACTTCTTCCATTTTAGGGGGACTTCACTTCAATTTTTTGTTTACCTATTTCCCTGTAAAATTTCTTTCATCGGGATCTTGTTCTTATTCTTTGAGCCTTCAGTTGTATTGTTTGCTTTAAAGTTGATAGGAAATTCCTGATATTGCGTCATGCCTTTTCTAGTTCTTACATTTACTCCTCTTGAGTTCAAAAAAAAATTCACACTAAGATCAAATTTTTCTTTTTCCCTTCGTAAACTGCCTTTTTTTTACTTTGATGTTCAGCTGTACTTGCATATATTGCTTCATTGAGATTTAATGAGTTTTTTATCCAGAATCAATTTGAGTGCTGCATTATAGGCTTAATAGTTTTGAGGTTATGCTTTGTTGGTTGTAATTTTGGGATCTCTTCAATATTTAGACTTATATGGCTCTGATTTCATAATCTTTTATTAATCTTGTTTTCAGTGAAATAATTCTGTTCGATGAATTTTGAACCATTACTGTCTTGTGACTGACACATTTTTCCAACATAAATAAAGCATTATCTTTTGATTAATGTGCGGTTTTTTCATTAACTGTACTTGTGATGTGAATACAATGTTTTTTGGTTCATCTATTCTTGTTGCAATTCTTTTTATTTCAAAAGCCTCTGTCAATGTTATTTCGCATGATGTCCCTTACATTGGCTAGTTTATTTTGAATCTAAATTCACTTATTCTGCCAAATGTCATATGTTTGGCGAGTGATGTTTTTCTGAGGTTTATAATATACAACTTTGTACGAGACCATTTTATTTTTCTTTCTTAAATTTACGGTTATGGATCTATTTGAGAAACCAAAATTATCCTGGTGTTGGATTTTCTGAGGAACTATGGCATTTTCGACCTCAATTGAAGGACGGGCTCCCTGTTTTCTGGAAGAGCCATACTGGACGTTTTGTTTCTATTTTTAATTTTCATATTAATCCCACGAGTGACGCACGGGTCCAAAAGTCCACCCAAATCCGGCACGTTGAGTAACGGTCTTTTTACAGACAGGGGAAAACTCTAACGCGGAACGATTAAACTTGAGTTGCGGGTTGTTGTTCGGATCTTGGCTAGACAGAGACACGATTTGGAATGCGCTGGTTAAAAAAAAAAAAAAAAAAAAAAAAAACATTCGTTTGTCCTGTGAAATTTAAAATAATTTATTGGATCTGTAAACGATACTTCTTAGAAAGAGCATTTTCTTTTCCATAAAATGTAAATGTAAAAAACGTTATTTTTTAAAGTCGTTGAAAATAGCGTTGTTTTAAAAAAAAAAAAAAAAAAAAAAAACAACATTATTATTATTATTATTATTATTATTATTATTATTTTCTTTGATTTCTGGCGTTTACACAACCGGGTCCAGCCCAGGACCTAAAGATGAAATGGCGTCATGACACTTTCCACTGACAAAAAAAAAATAATATATATAACAGCCCTTCCCTTTGTCAGAACAATTTTTTGTATCTCCTTGAATACTTTCTCTTGTACTGTTTTTCCAACCAGTCCTTTCACACAATTTTACATAGATAAAAGCTCTTTATAAGTCTCAAACGTTTCATGTCACTTATTCGTCAATAGGCATGCAGCTTCACCATTTGAAACAAAAATTGACAACTTCGTAGTTCCACATATCCGGTAGGAAAACCTCATCTTACTTGGAATCGAACTCTCCAGGACAACAACTCAGCACCAGAAAGAAAAACAGCTTTTCTGATTGGAGCTAAAGAAGTACAACATATATATATATATATATGAAACGAGAAACAAAATATATATATATATATATATATGTACTGTTTGTGGTCCTTTTGTGCAATTCTAGCCAGTCTCAAAAGTCATGTGTAGGCATGCAGATGTGTGTGTGTGTGTGTGTATATATATATATATATATATATATATATATATATATATATATGGCAAAAAAACCGGGTTTCGGTGGAAGGATTTACATGCCAAAAAGTCTATATCAGAACACCGGAAGTGAGAGAGGATAAGAGAACAAAACAAACGAATATGTCATACAGCATGCAAATGATAAAATCAGGAAGGAGTACTAATGCGTTGCACATCAAAAAAGAGACCAAGAATACGTATAGAAATGTAAAAAGAAAGACTGAAAACAGTCGAGCTTAAAGGTATAGACAACAAAAATGCTCAATACAAATTCAAAATCGAATATGTAGAGCGAAGAGATTTAAAAAGTCTAAAATGCCAACCAACTTCTTAACCCGGGTTTCGAACGTTACGTCTACTCAGGCAAGTGGACTGATGTACAAGCTAAAGAAATCTACTCCAGTACACCAGAACACCGGGTATATATATATATATATATATATATATATATATATATATATATATATATATATATATATATCAGTGTGTGCGAATTGCGTCTACCGGCCTGCACAATCGGAATATGTGATTAAGAAGATACGTTTCCTGCAGGGTTCGAACACGCTCTCTACTGCCTTGGAGGAACCGCTGTCCAATTAGAGAAAGCCACAGTTCAAAAGATAAAAAAAAGAAATATAGTGAAAAGAAAAGTAAGAAAAAGACGAAGCAGAAATGTGATGAAAAGAAAGAAAGACAGAAAGAAAGAAAGAAAGAAAGAAAGAAAGGTAGTGAAAAAGAAAGAAAGAAATTGTAGCACAAAAGAAAGAAAGAAATGTAACGGGAAAAGAAAGGAAAGAAAATATAAGAAAGAAAGTAATGACGGAAAATAAAGAGTAATGAGAAGGAAAGATAGAAATGCAGTGAGAAAGAAACAAAAAAGAAACAGCGAAAAAGTAGGAGTGATTAGAAGCCATAATTGGTGCAACATCTGGTCAATTATTATTATTATTATTATTATTATTATTATTATTATTATATTTCGATTTCTGCAGTTTGCAGTAGATTTGTGTTGTTATGGCTACATTTCATGATTTGTTTTTCTAACTCCCATAACATCACTAGCGTTACATGGAAAAAGTTCTCTTAAGTTGGGATTTCTAGAGATTTTTCACTGTGTTGTTGTGTTCCTTTTTTATCATTCCAAGCGCACCTACTTTGACTGGTATTATTCTTGTTTACAATTTCCACATTTTTTCTATTTCGATTTCCAGGTTTTTATACTTCGATAGTTTTTTTTTTTCAGATTCCTTTATTCTTACATTACAGTACGATAGGCATGCCATATCGATTAGTAGGCATTTTTTTCTTTTTTGCCTGTCAGTTTTCTGACAATTATGTATGGCTTATTTCCTTCAATCTTCCTGTCTGTAAAGACGGTGTAATTCCATAGAATTGTGGTATGCACTATTTCTGTAACAGGCGCTGGGTGATGTTCATACCAGCGTTTATTAACATATTTTCCAAAGTATTTGCGCATTGTCCAGTGTAATTATTGACCCACTCTATCGTGACAATTTTTATATTCATTTCGCACAAGTACAGAACATCTTGAGATTAGATGGTGTATGGTTTTCTGGTATTTGTTACAGAAGCTGCATTTTGGATCCACACTATTAAATATGATATTCTCCAAAAAGTTTCTAGTTAAAAGATTCTAGTCATGCGCTGCAAGAATAAATGCTTCCGTTTCAGCCTTTAATCCAGATCCTCGTAGCCATTGATGAGTGTTAACTTTATCAATATCGTTTTTTTTTAATGCGTTCTGGATATTAGCCTTGCAGAGGTCTGTCTTTTTAGCGTTGTTTCATCTGTTCAAGAGCTTTGTCCTTGGATTTCTTTTTCATATTTTTTGCTGCAACAGTTGGTTCTTAGGTTCTGTTTTGGTTTTCTACGGAATCTACTAAATGTAAATCTCGTTTGTATTTACAACTTTTTTTTCATGATTGATTTTTTTTTCTTTTTCTTCTCGTGTTGCTTTACTAATTGTATCACCCAGTCCTTTCCATATATTTTAATAAGCCAATAGTTATTACCTTGTATGACAATTCTAGATGAATATGACCTCTTCCACCTTATTTACGGGGTATGTACAGACGGTCTACATCAGCCTTTGTATGATGTATGTTATGTTATTCCATCTAATATCATTTACAGTCCATTTCAAGATGTTGAAACTATATTGAGCCACTGGGATGGCAAGGCTACTATTAATGGTCACAATTCTGTTCTGAGAATACAATTCAGTTCTTAAAATCAGTCGCGCCCTTCTATAGTACTCTTTTCACACTATTCCTTTTCATTTTCTATTTCTTCCCCTTCATTGACACCGAGTTACTGATAAGCTTCTTCTTGCTCTAAATCTTCGATTGTTACCTCAGGATCTAAGGGGAGGTTTGTTGTAGTGATCCGCATAAAATTGTGTTTTTAGCACATTTATCAAAACCGAATTCCATTCCAATGTCATCGCTGAAACATTTTACTGTTTTCAGGAGACCTTCCAGATGACTGTCATTCCTAGCATACAGCTTTAATTCATCCATGTAAAATAGATGGCTTATTTTCTTTTGAGATATTTTATAGCCATATCCCGTCCTGCTAAGTTCGCTGGTTAATGCTATTAGCGATATACAAAATAGTAAGGGAGACAAAAGGTTACCTTGAAATAATTCTCTGTTGATGATTATTTCACCAGACTTATAGATTCCATTGATATGATTGAGGGGAAATGTTGTTTTCCATATCGACATACTTTTCTTGATAAAATTGATGACGCCAGGTGATATATTTAAAAACCTTAAGATCCAGAAATGGAGTACACTATCGAAAGTCATACGGTAATATATCCAGGTAATACTGTGAGTTTTCTTTGTATTGAAATATTTTTTCCATCCTGTTAATAAGTAAATTGTCTTTACATCCGTAAGAGCCACGTTTGCACCCTTTTTCTTCAAGAGGTAGTGTGTCAGGTTTTAGTAAGAACGATTATATCTGTTTTATAAGAACAGATGTCAACAGTTTTTAATTAATGGGGAGGCATGTAATTTCTCTGCAGGTTTGGGGACATTTGTCTCACCATTCTTGGGTTGACGGAAGGTAATTCATTTAGTTACCGATGCAGGAATTTTAGCAGGATCAATGCTCATTTTTTTAAAGTTCTTTGGCTAGCTTTTTTAATGTTTAAAAGAATTATTTGGTATTATTATTGTTTAGGATTACCTGAAGCCATTTTATTGAATAAATTTACACTTTGTGGAATGGGGTACACTATCGAATGCCTTACGGTCATCTATCCAGGCAGCACTACGTGAAGCATTTTTCCAAGATCATCTCATTAATAAGTAATTGGACTTTCCACCCGTAATAGCCATGTTTTCACCCTTTTTGTTCCAGATGTAGTATATCATTTTTTCTAAGAAGGAATATGTTTGTTTTGCCAGAATAGATGTCAACAGTTTGTAAGTCGTGGGAAGACATAAAGTTATTTGGAACATTTGTGTTACCATTTTTGGTTAGGAAGGTAATTCCTTTGGTTAACCATGCTGGAATTTTAATAGGATAGTTGACCATTTCTTGAAGTTTTTTGGCTATTTCTGTGTACTTTATTTGCATAATAAAGTTCAAAGTTAGGAATTTTATCTATTCCTGTTGTGTGCTTTTTTTAGTGCTCATTCAACATCCGCTTCTGTGATTCCCGACCATGTTTGTTTATTTTTCATCCGTTCTACATCCTGCGTAACCAAATCTGCTTTTTTGTTATGTTCTTTAGGGCAAGCCCATATTTTTCCCAGCAGTGTATAACCTCTTCCATTGTTAGGGTGTTTGTCACTTCAATTTTAGGTTTGGTTATTTCTCTAAAAAAGTTACTCCACATCGGTTTGAAAGATCTTGTTCTGTCTGTAGAATCTTTTTTCATAGCGTCTGATTCTTTGAGACTTCAATTGTATTGTTTACTTTATATTTTTTTCTTTAGCTGATAGGAATCCATTTTCATTCCTAATTTTGTATTTTCGTTTAACTCGTCTGCCTTTTTTAGTTATTATATTTGTTCTTCTTTCCAGTTCATCGAGTACTAATAATTCACTTCCAAGTTGGATCATCATATATATGAGACCGCATTTTTTACTTTCATATTTAATTTTTTTTAGTTCTTGCTATTGCTGATGCATATATTGGCTTCTTTGAGACTTACAATGGGTCTACTTCAACCAGAATTAATTTGAGCAATGTATTATAGTCTTTAATTGTTTTCAGGTTCTCCTTTGTTTTTTTGTTTTGTTTTTTTTTTTTTTTTTTTTTTTTGTTGCTTTTTGGGTTTTTTGTAATTTGGGGCGTTGTTCTCGTTTCTCCATTTCAATATTTTGTGTCTGATTTATATGCCTTGTGATTTCCTCCTTTGTTTCTTGTCCACTATTATTGTTTTACGTAAAATAATTTGGCTCGTTTTATTTGCAGTCTTATGACTGACTAAGATCACGCCTTTCCAACTCTTCTTTCTACTTTCACTATTACCTTCACAATGAATGGAGCGTATCTCAGTTTCTTCATTATGATTTGAGGTTTTTGTAATGTTTTTTTGTTCATTTCTGGTCTCCTTTCACGTTCTGTTGATTTGCCTATTCTGGTTGCAGTTCTTTTTATTTCTTTTATATCACATTCTGTTTGTGGGTTATTTTTCATGATGTACCTTGGCTAGTGCCTCCCTTATATATATATACAAACTTTATTTAATTCTTCACTTATTTATTCGTCCATCAGTATATTATTATTAGTAGTAGTAGAAGTAGTAGTAGTAGTAGTATTTCCTTTGATTTCTGGTGTGTACACATTTCGTTCCGAGTCCCGCCCAGAGACCTAGGGTTAGAAATGGCATCATGACATTTTCCACTGACATAAACACAATATATATATATATATATATATATATATATATATATGTATTATGATAATGGACAAAGTCCGACAATTATTTTTAAGACATTTTTATGTTTATAAATTCTTTTTATGGATACAAATATTTAAGTAAATGCTCTGTTTATAATAAAGAGTATTAAACAACATTTACCGGCCTGAATGTCCGAGAAATTTGCACAGAACGGAGGACGAATATTTTCCCGGACATTCAGGCCGATAAATGTTGTTTAATACTGTTTTAAATATTTGTATCTATAAAAAGAATGTATAAACATAAAAATGCCTTTATATATATATATATATATATATACCAAGGTTTCACCTAAGCGGATCGCCAGCAGTCCCTGACGATCCGCTTAGGTGAAACATTGGTAGGTTTGTCTGGCTCTTTAGGTTTAATAAGGTTTGCTCTACTTAGTGTATTGAGCACTTTATTTAGTTATTTTACTTATTCGTATCGGGTTTTTTTTCTTTAGACTCTGAAGTTGGATGCTAGACGATTGTCTTTGGCTGATGTACATGTTCTCTGTTCTTTCTTTTTGTACCATTTTTTCCCTTGGGTATTTGTCTGTTTATTTACATATCAAGGCACATAAGGTTATCCAGACGAGTATAATTTCTTATATTTTGAAGATATATATATATATATATATATATATATATATATATATATATATATATATTACATAGATAAAGCCCTTCGTAAGGTGTGGGCTGTACTCGTGAGAACAAATTTTGTATTTCTTTTAAGGCATGGACTTCAATTAGTCAGGAATCCCTTCAATTAGTCTACTGGAATTATTTATTTATTATTATTATTATTATTATTCATTTTATCTGAAGTTGTGTTTTGAAGACTCAATACTTTTTCATCACCACCAAAACCAACAAGAGTACTCGATTCAACATACATTAGCTATTCTGTCCGGCGTAAAGACCTCCAGCTTGCACACTTGACAGTCATCTCTAGCGATAATCGATTTCATATAACACCCGATGGATA